AGAGGTGACGGTGGTTTTCCTTGCTGCATCCCCTTTGCCGGGTTGCTGCGCTGTGGGAACCACAGCTTGAAGCTTCGTTTGGCTGCTGGCTGAGCTTTCTGCCTTTGGCTTGGAGGGGCTCAGAAGTTGAACATACCTGTGCTTGGGAAATCCCTAATTTTGGCTGCTGATCCCTTATTTTTGAGGCTGCTGGTCCCTTATTTTCAAATCTGTAAGTTGACAGCTATGACAGGATCCCGTTCCCAGATGCCAGTGAGAAGCCCACAAGCAGAATATGATTGCAAGAGCGCTCTACCCACTGGTATTCAACTGGTACCTATGACTGTGGAGACAAAGCAATAGCCATTATGACTAAGTAGCTGCCAGTAGTCTAATGCTCCATAAATTTGCCTAACCCGCTTTTCAAGCCACGCAAGGCACTCATCCCTGGCAAGCAGAGTTGTGGATTTGTGGACGCCTGCTGCCACACCAAGGGAGATTGTGAGCATTCCGTTCTACCCAGACACTGAGGTCCAGCGCCGGGGCCTTTTGGCGGTTCCCTCCCTGCGAGAAGCCCAAGTTACAGGGAACCAGACAGAGGGCCTTCTCGGTAGTGGCACCCGCCCTGTGGAACGCCCTCCCACCCGATGTCAAAGAGAACAACAACTACCAGACTTTTAGAAGACATCTGAAGGCAGCCCTGTTCAGGGAAGCGTTTAATGTTTCATGCATTACTGTACAGTGGTATCTCGGGTTAAGAACTTAATTCGTTCTGGAGGTCCGTTCTTAACCTGAAACTGTTCTTAACCTGAGGTACCAGTTTAGTTAATGGGGCCTCCTGCTGCCGGAGCACGATTTCGGTTCTCAACCTGAAGCAAAGTTCTTAACCCGAGGTACTATTTCTGGGTTAGCGGAATCTGTTACCTGAAGTGTCTGTAACCCGAGGTACCACTGTATTTTAATATTTTGTTGAATGCTGCCCAGAGTGGCTGGGGAAGCCCAGCCAGATGGGCAGGGTATAAATAATAAATTATATTATTATTATATTATTATTCATATGCAACTCTAAAGGAGGTGGTAAAGTATCTCAGCTCAGCACCTCTGACTCCTCTTTCATTCTGCTTTTCTCCTCCTCCTCCTAGGGAGCCGGCGGAGAGAAAGGAGACAAGGGCGAATCCGTAGGTTTGCAAATTCTCCTTGTTAGCCTTGCATGAGAGCCATCAAAGGCACCTTTTCAAGTGGGCTAGCCTTCTGCATTCATATCTGGGGTGGTGGTGCTGGTGGTTTCCATGTCAACATATGTGCGTCTTGTGTTTCTGCAGGGACAGCCTGGGCCCCCAGGAACTCCTGGAAAGACCGTGAGTAATGCTTCTTTTTTTAAAAAATAAAATAATATTTATTACTTTCCAACAAATTGAACATGCATAGAAAAAGAAAATAAACAATACAGTACAAAAACAATACCTAACACTAAACTAACAAACACAATTTAAACTAGGAAAACAAAACACAAACAATTTAAACTAAGAAAACAAGACAAAAACAATTTAAAACACATCGAATAATTTCAATCCTTCATTCACTTATTTCCATGACCTCCTCACACCTCCCTTTTTGTATTCCACTTCTATTTAGTTGTTTCAGCAATTCCTTTCCATCTTCCTCTGCTTTCCATCCTATAATTATCTTAACACATTTTAACCTTATTTTCCCTTTAATTCTCTGTTAATCTATTTATACTTAATTCCTTATAACGTTTCTACTAAAGCCGTGTAACTTCATTCCAACATTTTTCTAACATTAATTTTACAATATTTCTGTACATAGTCTTTAAACTTTTTCCAATCTTCTTCCACCTACTCTTCTCCCTGGTCTCGGATTCTGCCAGTCATTTCCGCCAATTCCATATAGTCCATCAACTTCATCTGCCATTCTTCCCGGGTGGGTAGATCTTGTGTCTTCCAATACTTCGCGATGAGTATTCTTGCTGCTGTTGTAGCATACATAAAAAAAGTTCTATCCTTCTTTGGCACCAATTGGCCGACCATGCCCAGGAGAAAGGCCTCTGGTTTCTTCAGAAAGGTATATTTAAATACCTTTTCCAGTTCATTATATATCATTTCCCAGAATGTCTTAATCCTTGGGCATGTCCACCAAAGGTGAAAGAATGTGCCTTCAGCCTCATTACCTTTCCAACATTTATTTTCAGGCAAATGGTAAATTTTTGCAAGCTTGACTGGTGTCATGTACCACCTATAAATCATTTTCATTAAGTTTTCTCTTAGGGCATTACATGCCGTAAATTTCATACCTGTGGTCCATAACTGTTCCCAGTCAGCCATCATTATATTATGTCCAACATCTTGTGCCCCTTTAATCATAGCTGATTTCACCGTTTCATCCTGGGTGTTCCATTTCAACAGCAAGTTATACATTTTTGACAAATTCTTAATTTTGGAATCTAACAGTTCTGTTTCCAATTTTGATTTTTCCACCTGGAAACCAACTTTTTTGTCCAAATTATATGCCTCCATTATTTGATAATAATGGAGCCAATCTCACACTTTATTTTTCAATTTTTCAAAGCTCTGCAATTTTAGTCTGTCTCCCTCTTGTTCCAGAATTTCCCAATATTTCGGCCATTTGGCCTCCATATTGAGTTTTTTCTGTGCCTTCACTTCCATTGGTGACAACCATCTTGGGGTTTTCTTTTCTAACAAATCTTTGTATCTTATCCATACATTAAACAATGCTTTCCTAACAATATGATTTTTAAACGCTTTATGTGCTTTCACCTTATCATACCACAGATATGCATGCCAACCAAATATGTTGTTAAAACCTTCTAGGTCCAACACATCAGTGTCTTCAAGTAGCAGCCATTCTCTCAGCCAACAAAAAGTAGCTGATTCATAATAGAGTTTTAGGTCTGGCAGGGCAAATCCACCTCTTTCTTTAGCATCAGTTAATATCTTAAATTTTATTCGAGGCTTCTTGCCCTGCCAGACAAATCTGGAAATATCTTTCTGCCACTTCTTAAAACAATCCATCTTATCCAAAATTTGTAATGTTTGAAACAAGAACAACATCCTTGGCAGCACATTCATTTTTATCACTGCAATTCGGCCTAATAATGATAACTTCAAATTTTACCATATTTCTAAATCTTTTTACACTTCAATCCAACATTTTTCATAATTATCCTTAAATAAATTTACATTTTTAGCAGTCATATTAACCCCTAAATATTTCACTTTCTTAACCAATGTTAATCCTGTCTCTTCCTGAAATTTCTCTCTCTCATTTACAGTTAATTTTTCTCTAAGACCTTAGTTTTTATCTTGTTCAGCTTAAAACCTGCTACTTGCCCAAATTCTTGAATCAATTCCAATACCCTCTTTGTGCTAGATTCTGGTTCCTGTAGAGTCAATACTAGATCATAAGCAAATGCTTTCAATTTATACTGTTTAACTCCCACTTGTATACCTTTAATCTCTTGATCCTTTCTTATCATGTTAGACCGTGAGTAATGCTTGTTCTCCTGGGGAAATAGTGCAAGATGGGAAGAAAGAGATGGTGTCTCCTTGCTTGGCAAACGTGGCACAGATCAAAAGCCAGGCTAACTGGGGAGATTTTCTCCAGTCGAGGACTTTATTAAGGCCCAGGGATTGTATACACATGGGGTGGTAGATAGTGGATGCAGGACCCTGGGCAGAAGGCCGGAAAATGTTGGTCTCCTGGGGTGAGGAACTGGGAGGAGAAAGCAACACTCCCAGGTGAGAGCTGAGACCTACATTGGCTCCCAGTACGTTTCCAAGCACAATTCAAAGTGTTGGTGCTGACCTTGGAAGCCCTAAATGGCCTCGGTCCAGGATATCTGAAGGAGCGTCTCCACCCCCATCGTTCTGCCCGGACACTGAGGTCCAGCGCCGAGGGCCTTCTGGCGGTTCCCTCACCGTGAGAAGCCAAGTTACAGGGAACCAGACAGGGGGCCTTCTTGGTGGTGGCACCTACCCTGTGGAATGCCCTGCCATCAGACGTCAAAGAGATAAACAACTATCTAATGTTTAGAAGACATTTGAAGGCAGCCCTGTTTAGGGAATTTTGTTATGACTGATGTTTTAATGTATTTTTAATCTCTGTTGGAAGTCGCCCAGAGTGGCTAGGGAGGCCCAGCCAGATGGGCAGATAATTAATAATAAATAAATAAATAAATAATAATAATAATAATTTAGTATTTATACCCTGCCCATCTGGCTGAGCTTCCCCAGTCATTCTGGGCAGCTTCCAACAAAGTATTAAAATACAGTGGTCTGTTAAACATTAAAAGCTTCCCTAAACAGGGCTGCCTTCAGATGTCTTTTAAAGATAAGATAGCTGCTTATTTCCTTCACATCTGAAGGGAGGGCGTTCCACAGGGCTTTATTTACTTAAATTATTATTATTATTATTATTATTATTATTATTACTACTACTACCTTCTGTGGGTGCTAAGGGCTAAGAACTACTTTTAAGAACTCTGTAATTTTTGTAGCTGCTTTTGTTTTTTTAAAAAATTATTTACATTAGTTTTCGGAATCTTACTGTATTATGGAAACCTTTAGTAAAAAGAATGAAAGCCATCTACATCACCCCCCCTTAAAAAAGAAGAAGGAGGAAGTGCTTGGAGAACATGGCCAAGAACCTACAAGAGTTGCTTCTCATCTCTGAAAGGGGCTTTCTTCCTTCCTCACGTTCTTATCAATGTTCCTTTGACAATTGTAGGTTCTTCCTCTGAAAAGCAGCGTTGCCGTCAAAGGAGAGAAGGTACCACTTCTTCCCCTACTGAAATATTAGTGATATGACTGAATGTCTTGCATGACTTGGACGAGTTCATTGGCTCGTGTAGAAACCCTTTGTGCATCTCCTGGGGGTATGGTCTTAGCTGCCGTTCTCCACCTAGAGTGGAGAACCTCAGGCCCTGGTCTAGAGATGGATCTCCAGCTGACCGCAGTGCTTCTCGGACGGAACGACTCGCCACAGAGAATGCCAGTCCGTGGCTTGGATGCCCTTCATTCCACCGGAATCTGTAGAGGCAGATGCCAGATTTCTGTGAAATGAAGCCCATCAGGCATGGGTTCCCTCTTCGCCCTTCTCGCTTGAGAGCCCATCAGGCGAAGACTTCATGGCATCCTCAGTCGACCGTGTTGTGGTTGCCGCAGAACTGGAAGAAGACGTTGAAGCAAAGCGCACAGATGTTCCCGGTGGTGGTGCCAGTTGTGGAAGACATTGAAGTGAAGCACCCAGATGTTCCTGGTGGTGGTGCCAGTTGTGGAAGAGCAACCTGGTCCAAATCTTATCAAGGAGCACCCTGCCACACACAAAGTCCAGGTTCACCAGCGCATCACTTCACATGTAGGCATCGCAGTAACCTATTTACAGAAAATAATTTCGAGAAAGCTCTGATGTCAGGAGACAACCCACACCAAGGGCTCTGGACCCTGCTGTGGGGTGGTGCTAGGGGTTCTGCCCTTACATATGGATGTAAGAAAAGGCTTGCTAGGGCAGAGCAGAGCTCCATTTCACCCATCACAACCACAGTGGCCAACCAGATGTATCTTGGGAAGCCCACAAGGAAGACCTGATTGCCACAGACCTTTCCTGATGTTTCTCAGTGATGCTGGGCATAGCATGTAGATGATAATCCACACCATCTCAGAGGCAGCTGCTGGGAATTGCAAGTGCTCAGGCCTGTGGGAATGTTCAGGGTGGCAGGAGAAGGGGATATATTGTTTATTAATATCCTTCCTAACTAGCGATTAGGGACGAGGGTGGCGCTGTGGTCTAAACCACTGAGCCTCTTGGGCTTGCCGATCAGAAGGTCGGCAGTTCGAACCCCCACGACGGGGTGAGCTCTTCAGTCCCAGGTCTTGCCAACCTAGCAGTTCGAAAGCACACCAGTGCAAGTAGGTAAACAGGTACCACTCCGGTGGGAAGGTAAATGGTGTTTCCGTGCGCTGCTCAGTTTTGCCAGAAGCGGCTTAGTCATGCTGGCCACATGACCCGGGAAAACTTGATTTATTATTATTCAATCAATAAATCAATTTTTATTACAGTCCAGAGACCCAACAAATCGTTACAAAGCAATGCACAATTCAGACAGCCTACTTCCAAGTTAAACAAGCATTTTGTTCAGACTTAAAGATAGGGATCATTGATTCTTGCGACCACCAATAAAAACTTTGCCACTGCTAATGTTCTAGCGTTTGTCCGATCTTCCAGTAATTATTCATTATTATGTTTTTATCCCCTTCTTACCTTCTTGTAATTATTGTTTAAGTTTATATCCCACCCTTCTTCCCAAAGGAGCCCAGGTTGGCAAACACCCAGCTGATAAAAACAATAATATTTAAAATACAATAAATGCATGTTTAAAACATTAACAAGCTCGAAGGCTGTATCATGAATTTGTGCAACCCGCTTTCTTCTGAGTTTGTTGGTTGCCATTCTTGTATCTTGCAGAAGCAAATGCCACAGTATAGCTCTGTGCTGTGCGAAGAAATCCTTTATTTTCTTTTTTCTTTTTTGGCAGTTCTATACATATATATATATATTTATTAAATTATCTGTTTTACAATTTGAAATACACATTTAAACGTCCTTAAAATATGAATGACTTCCCTTCTCCTCTTTCCATGGTTCATTTTGCATATCATAAATCCCTGCGTATTTTACAAAAACCCAAACCATTCAGTATTCCATTATTGCATCCATCAAAATGAATTTACACTGTTGAATTCAGCTTGTCAAGAAATCCTTTATTTTCTTTGTCCTGAATCGTCCAACCTTCTTCACTGCCGCAGCAGTATTGGGTTCTCATATTATGAGACAGAAAGAAAACCTTCACTTTCTTCACACAACGCATTATTGTATACATCTTTGGGTCATTCCACAACAAATCAACGCAAAAAACAAGGGTTTTGCCACCAGCCGTCTCAGATTTTGATGAAACTTGGTGTACACCCTTCCCTTATGGTTGAAAGAAACCCCCTTAAATTTTTTTCGTCTATCTCAAACGGTTTTAATTCTATAGCACTTCAAATTCTAAAATTTTGTTAGAAGACATAAGAGACCCATAAATTTTTTATATTTTTTTTTGAGAAAGAGCATGTCTTTGCAATAATTTTCACCATCAAAAACTTTTGATTCCATCATGGAAAATTTAGCTTTTCTAAACCTCATTTTCCACCAAAAAAAACCAACTACATTTATACATTTTTAAGGCATTTATAAAATCTTTTGAGTGGTAGTGTATTTTTTCCTGAAATCCTCATCATGTTATTGAGCTCTCTGTAAAATTTCAAAGAGATCTGATCGTTGGTTATGAAGAAAAGAATTAAAATGCACACAAGACAGAGGATCTCAAGAGGGACAGAAACACAGATTTCACGAAACTTTGAAGTGCTATAAAATTAAAACCGTTTGAGATAGAGGGGGAAAATTTAAGGGGGTTTCTTTCAACCATAAGGGAAGGGTGTACACCAAGTTTCATCAAAATCCGAGACGGCGGGTGGCATGACTGCGTTGAACTGACGTGGAATGACCCCTTTATCCTTGCCTCGTATCTAAACTACCAAACTCTGCATGGTATAAGCTTCCCTCCTGGGGAGTTTCTGTATCTCCTTGATCATGTCTGTGGCCCTTCTCTGTCAGAAGATCTCAGGGTCGCAAAGGACCCGCTGCCTTCATGAATGTTCCGTTTCAAGGTCTGTACTTGAACTGACTGAACAGATTGATTTACTCACCTGTTTTCTTGCTTCTCTTCAAAGGGAGACGCTGGGCCACCTGGCAAAGGAACAGACATCAAGGTAAAACCAGACAAATGTTGGTTTGCATGTTGAAACACATTGATCAGCGTTCTGATAGGGTGGGCATAAAATGAAACTTCTCAGTGGCAGCTGGAAGCAAACTCCTTCCTTCCTTCCTTCCTTCCTTCCTTCCTTCCTTCCTTCCTTCCTTCCTTCTTTCTTTCTTTCTTTCTTTCTTTCTTTCTTTCTTTCTTTCTTTCTTTCTTTCTTTCTCTTAATTCAATCTTTATTGGTTTATAATCAACACAGACACACAGTGAAAACAAACAAACAAAAACAGCACATAACTCATAAAAAAAGAAAGGAAAGGAAACAGTACAACGCGAAAACACAAAAACATTTTAGCCATCGACTTCTGACCTCCTTGTTGTGGGTTCTTCGTTTCCTTGTTACTTGCCTGTATTTTCAACAAACTTAACCTTTATTATATCTTATTTGTGTTCTTTATACCTTATGCAATTCTGAGAGTTATTCAAAGCATTCTAAAGTTTTAATATGGGGACAATGTTCTTTTAAATATTGCCTAGAAATCTTTTTAAACTTTTGGGTCAATCTATCCCTGATCTTTTCCGTCATATTCGCTAGTTCCATGTATTCAAGCAGTTTAACTTGCCATCCCTTTTTTGATGGGATTTTATCTCCTTTCCATCACCTGGCAGCCAGTATCCTTGCTGTTGCTGCATACAAAAAAATCCTTCTTTTCTCTCTCGGGATGTCTGATGCCATAATACCTAAGAGGAAGGCTTCAGGGTTTTTTTGATAAACATTGTTTTAAACAGTTTTTTTAAAAAATTCATTATATATAAGTTCCCAAAAGCTCTTTATTTTTTTACAACCCCACCACATGTGGTACATTGTTCCCTCTAGCTCTCTACACCTCCAGCATAAATTGGTTTTGTACATTTTGGCCAATTTGCTGGGGTTGATGTATAGCATCTTCATAAAGTTTTCTTTTATAGTAAAACAAGCCGTAAATTTCAGTTCCCTTCTCCATAATTTTTCCCATTCCGCCACCTGTATGTTATATTCAAAGTCTGTCGCCTGCTGCACTATAACCGGTTTTACTACTTCTTTTACTTCCCAGTCTAACAATAACCTGTACATTTTGGAAAGCAATTTGTCATTATTTTTCAACAGACTTTTCTCTAATTCTGATATTTCCATCGCAAAAACAGGTATTTTTAATCTACGTTAAAGATGTCGTTCAACTGGTGGTATTGTAACCAGTCTGTGAGATGATGTCTTATATCCTCAAACTTTCTCAGTTTTTATTGATTTTTGTCCTCCTCTAGCAGTTTCACAACGGGGTGAGCTCCCGTTGCTCGGTCCCAGCTCCTGCCAACCTAGCAGTTCAAAAGCACATCAAAGTGCAAGTAGATAAATAGGTACCACTCCGGCGGGAAGGTAAACGGTGTTTCCGTGAGCTGCTCTGGTTCGCCAGAAGCGGCTTAGTCATGCTGGCCACATGACCCAGAAGCTGTCTGCGGACAAACGCTGGCTCCTTCGGCCTATAGAGCGAGATGAGCGCCGCAACCCCAGAGTTGGTCACGACTGGACCTAATGGTCAGGGGTCTCTTTACCTTTACCTTTCACAGTTTCAAAGGTGTGCCATTTTGGGGGCTTAAAAAAAGCAGTTTTGAAGTTGTGGCTTCAGGTGCAAGAAGCATCAAAGGCCAAGTGAAATATACTTGGAGCTAAGTGTTGATTTCATGCTCCTTATTTCAGCTCATGGTCATCAGTGAGTGAGTGAGTTCCCCCCAAAAACCTCTGGCTATATATACATTATTTACACAATGGGTCCCACGTGATTGGCCGATTCAACTCCCCTCCTGGAGCCTGATTGGGCTGCTCCTGCTAATTCACTCCCTCCTGGAACCGGATTGGGCGGCTCCTGCAGACCAATCAAGTTGCTGCTTTCTAGGATCCTACCGGCCAATTATTCTAGGATCCAAGCTCAGTACATAACACCAAACCTGTCCCAAAAGCAAAGATCAGGAACCTGTAGCCATCCAGATATTGTTGGATTCTGATTGTTTTATTACATCATGTCTATGTCACTTTAATTATTATCTTTTTCTGCTTTGCTTGGAAATTGCTTTGGGGCTTTCTTGGTAGGGTGTGCATATTTAATAAACCTAAACCTACATCTCCCATCAGCTCTGAGCTGGGGCTGATGGGAGTTGTAGTCCCAACAGCATCTCTGGAGGTCCATGAGTTTGCGGTCTCCGGACAGCAGCCAACATCTGGATTCATCCTATGGTTTATGCTTTGGCTG